ATGTTGTTGTGCAACATTAGATAGTTGAGCTATACAGGAATGAATATGCTTGACAGAAGTAAAAAGTAAAACAGTTTGGAATCTAACCATAACAGCAATACATGTAGTGTTCATATTCATACTTATAGTGTATCGGAAAGCCCTTGAAAATGCGGTTCTGCCAAGGTATAATATACATTCAAGTCACTTCTGATAGTCAGGCAATGTGCGCCATTATGTCATAGCGGGTACAATCTGGGATCGGGTACCCATGTTCCGTCAGTGCTACGGCAGCCATAATTTCAATATCCGTTATCCGAAATTAAATGTCTAAAATGCATCGGAAAGCCATTGAAGATGCGGCTCTGTCAAGGTATAATGTGCATTCGCGTCACATCTGATAGAAGGCGGTAGAAGGCGGTAAGGGGTTTGTGGGGGGTGGAGGTAGTATAGTTGATGGGGGGGTAGTAGTAATGCTGGAGAGTTGGTGGGGGTGGTTGGTGGTGTACTGAGTATGTGAGTGAATGGGTGATGTGTGTAGTTGACTTGGGGTTGAGGGAGTGTACTGTTATGTAATGTTATAGCGGGAGTGAGCGGGGTTGGCTGGGGGCAAGGACCCCGGAGAGGACAGCCGAACGAACGAAGTTAGATGTTTTACGTCGGCTTTTAGCGGTGCCAATGTCGCCGACGGGGTAGGTGGGGTTAAGATAAATGATATAATAATGGTACAATAAGGAATAAACCACCGTACCCAAAAAATGTAAATGTAGGGGCTATAAACTTACCATGGTTTTGAATAAAAACGTTTACAACATAATGGAAAATAAAGTAAAAGCCGAGATTATAAAGGCAAAGCGAAAAAATAATGTAGTTTGTTAAAATAAGAAGAGCTAGAACTCAGTAGATAGTACATAAAGTTGGGTGGGGGGACGGGATGGGATGGAAGAGGGATGTTTGTGTTGCACATTTTCAACAGGCGGAATTACAAGGTGCGAGTTCAAATCACACTCACCGCTTTAAACATTTGCAACCAATATTAATGAAAAAATCATCAATGTGACATCTTAATTAACAAAACACAATCTCATAAAAATGAGCACATTATATCAATTTTTTATTATGTTCGCCGTAGGTTTTCTCCATTTTCTGCGCCACATCACTTATTCGCCTTTGTTTCATTTTAAGTACGGTTAAACGGGTTTTCGTCTAGCTCTGCGTATACCACTGTATGTTTCTGTGTATTAGGTTCGATTGTTGCAATGTTCAATGAATTTGAGTCATTCGCCGACAGGTTTTTATAATTTACCATGATTTATTATGAAATTCTAACTTGTATTTTGTCACGATATGGCTGAAATATTGCCGATGTGACTTAAAATCTGAACTCACTCACTCACTCAATGAATTTGGACTGGAATTTGCCTAGGTTGATCAACAAAGTAAAAATACAAATCAAACGCTGCTATCATGACACAGTATACTTTTTTCCAAAAAAAGGGACAAGCATTGTATGAGCAATATGGCGACAGAAACGAAGAAAATCCTGTGCACTTTCGTAAGAAACCTCCGGTAACAGCAGAGTCGATTGTACAATTCCGATTATATCGTGAGTATGTGTTTGTTTGACGCCTCATTCAGCAGTGTTACATGTCTACGACGACACATAGCCATTAAAGGAGAATGTGTTTACCACGTTTCTTAAAGCTTTTGGCTTTCGTTCCGGAAATTAAACCCGCTGCTTCCATTCGGTTCAGGATCTAAATCCGAATTTACATAAGTCATATACAAAAGAGGGAAAGCAAAAGTTGAAGGGATACATTTGTACCACATGGTGAATGAATATGGTTTTAAGCCGCTTTTTGGCAATATTCCAGCAACAACATCACAGTGAGGGACATCAGAAATGGGCTTCACACATTGTACCCATGTGGAGAATCGATCCCGGGCCTTCGGCGTGACGAGCGAATGCTTCAACCATTATGCTACCTCATCGCCCCACACTACTTAGTGGGGGTGGTGGGGTAGCCTAGTGGTTAAGGCGTTCGCTCGTCACGCCGAAGACCCGGGTTCGATTCCCCACATGGGTACAATGTGTTAAGCCCATTTCTGGTGTCCCCCGCCGTGATATTGCTGGAATATTGCTAAAAGCGGCGTAAAACCAAACTCACTCACTCACTCACTACTTAGTGAATGTATATACCGTGTTTCATAAAGCTATCTCTCATAATTTTTTAGTTCCTCTCCGGAAGTGAAATCCTCTGAGTCAATTTAATTTAGGGACAAAATTAGAATCTATCTAATTTACACTAAATAGATAGAAAAAGTCAAATGAATTGCAAATAGCAAAAGAGCCATCTCCACTGACTTTCGACTGTGTGTAGTAAGTTTTGTTAGAATGTCTTCAGTATATTTTCCTATTTAGAGTTCAGAGGCTACATGTAAATCACAAATCAGACAATTAATATGAAAGAACATAAAACTTGGTTGTGGTGGCCCTAAATAGCACAAGCGTATCTATGCTGTGTTGAATGTGTAGACCTATGTAGACCTATAGGAAATGGACTGGAAACAAGCACAACGCCATTATTGTCATGTGAAATTAGTTGTCATGGAAACTGGGGAAAATGACTTTAAAAAAAAATCTACCAACTGGCACTGGTTAACCAATAGACCTCTCCATGAGCTAAGTTAGTTGAAGAAATAAAGTACGGTTACATGCAGCACGTGGCAAGTGGGATTCAATATGGCTATATGCCTATGCAAAAGTACAGGTGCAGCTAAAATGCTCTCATGAGCCGAGTATACTGATTGCAGAATAATAGTAGGGCAGAAAACAGACCCAAATAGGTCCAGTCGTTCACTTTGTGATGAAGCATCAAAAATTGGCATGATTGCTCACCATGGCCCCTCTTTCAGGAAAATATCGTTGACCAATCAAAAATCCATTTTCAAGATGGCCGCCACCGGTTATACAAAACCGTCAGTGCTTTGAGCACCACACGTGCATGAAAATGGCTCTTCTGGTGTCCGTGATGATAACTGATAGAGCACGATTTCTTCGTCCATGGCCTAATATTTATGATTTCTCTGGAATGTTACTAAAAGACGTATTTTGATGCTGTACTAAATACAGAACTCCCGAACACAACGACAGATGTCAAATATGGTGTCTAGGTACAGTCACGAGTCGGTTGTGAGCACTGCTAGCTTCCTGTCGAAAGTAAAAACATATATTTCTCATCCAACATATCAATCCCATGTACCTTCAGTTCTCCTTCTGGTAATAACTCCTGTGACAAGATCCAGTTTGTGTCTTCAGGTAAATGAGGGATGCCTCTTAAGACTCGGCTACACAGGTCGAAGTCAGTTCAGTATTGTTAATGTAACAGTTTTGTGTCACGAAACATAATTTAAAAGTTGTCCATCTGCGTTGTTTTTGTTTGTTCGTTTGGTTAGTTGTGTTTTTTTCTGGTTTCTGGATTGGTTTGGGGGATTTTTCTTTGTATTGGCATTATCCAGTTGTTAACGCCTCTGTTGTTCCAAATGACCTTGCGTCAATCTTTACACTCAGAAAACACATAGGGCATTGATTCTTTCGATGTCATAAGTGACGCTGTGATTAGTCTGATTGTTGGTATCTCATTTCCATAGATGTCGTAGTCATGTCATCTACCCCTTTTAAGTCAGTCAGTAAAAGCGACAGTTGTCGCCATTGTAAGTCTGATGGATGAAACGTGTCTTGTCTTGTTATCCTGTCTGTGAAAACTAACCATAGAACACAACTCCTCAGATAGACCAGTCTCCAACATTCCACGACACTATGTGTAGACCTTGTCGTGCCGTGTAGATTCCGAATGGACACAAGTGATTGAGGACTCGTCCGCATTTTAGGGAACAGGGTACGTTTCTGTATTTTGACTTTGTTTAGGGTACATATCTGTATACAGAAGCGTACCTGGGGTACGTATCTGTAGTACCGGTGCCGACAACTCTGGGCCCCGTTTCTCAAAGCGATCGTAGCGCTACGATGATCGTAGCTCCCATACTTTAACATAGGCTTACGACTGTCGTAGCGCTACGATTGCTTTGAGGAACAGGGCCCAGGTCTCCCTGGGCCTGCTTTTCAATTTAAATGAGCTTGTTTGTTACTATCAAACTTATATATATTCAGAGACTAAGCATTAGTCTACGCATGTGGTTGTTCCCGTTCAACTGATTGCGAGTGGTATTCATATGCATCGCGAAATAGCCGTTACTGTGTATTCTCATTACTTACATAAAGCAACCAAATGTATCTAATACAACAGCATGACAGTTCCGATCAAGAATACGACACAATGGGAATGGAATCGTCCTAGGGTACGTTTCTGTATTCTCATTATGACCAGGGTACGTTTCTGTATACAGAAATGTACATGGGGTACATATCTGTAGTACCTGTGCCGACAACGACCCCTTCAGCCTTAGTTGTTGCTCACATGTCAAAAGTTTGGTATCAACATCTATCCAAACATACAATCAATTTGGGAGACAGCAATAATCCCTCATTAAGGGCAGAAACCATATAATGGTCTCTGTTAAGGTAACATGGATTCAGATCATAAGCTTTGAGTATTGAAATGGTCCTGAAAATAGTGATGGTATGTTTGGAAGAATAAAACATAGTTTTCTCACAAAAGCCACTTGCTGCAGGTGTGTAATGCCACTTCCAGTGATGAAGTAAAGTTCCTGTTCTGTATCTGAACATAATGGATGTGCATGCATATTGCCCCAAATGTAGCCGACCCAAAACCCTGCCACCCCCGCCCAAAGATCATGTACGGGAAAAATTTAGCCTTCTGTTCCCGAAATTTACAATTACGTTCAATTAAACATGAAATAGGGAGTCTATTTTACTACATTTGATGCTTGTCAGCAATTAAATAAGATTGTTATCCAACATCAGCCGCCACAGCCGCCGTTTACCGAATATCGAGCAATGCGCAAGTGCGGAAGTGACGTCGTATTATTGTTTACTTCCGCGTACCTGCAGGTCGGAAACTGTTAAGTTTCAAGTATTTTTATGCCACAATCGTAAAAGGATATATTTACAAATTGCTGTCGTGCGCCAAATGCATGGACTTTGAGAGGTAATTTTGTTATTTTATGGAAATCATATATCAAGAATATATGTCGATCGCAGCTGGAGCCGTCAGTCGAGTTACATGCAGTTAGCTGACAGTAACGATATGTCACTGACATAAACAGCAATATATCCAGGTCATTCGCCCACGTCATTTCAGCTTTCAGACCCATTTTCACTTCGATATTTCTGTGATCGTAAGTCAAATTGTATGTCAGATGGTTGGACTTGAGAGCTATTCCAGCATATTTGTAACAATACTGATGCAGGGTATACTTACAGACATAGGGAGGAGAGATCAATCTCGGTATATTTTGTTTGTGTTGATAGTCAACATACTTTGCCCAGTTTATTTTTCTACAGTGAAGAGAACTTTGATAATTATATAAAATCATACAGTAAAGGTTTGTAGACAGCAACTTCAGTGCGTGAGAAATCCTGACATTATTTTATACAGCCAGTGGATATAGTTATTAATTTTGATGATGTGTACATGATAATTAACCAGCTAGTGGAAATAATTAGAAATTATGCAAAACAATGATATGATGGGTGTATAGGGTAACTTATATGTGCTTGTCATCAGAGTGAATTAAATGGTTATAAATTACAAAATACAACATGAACCATGATTGCAATGATATCTTGACCACATGGATGTTAGCTCATGATTTCAAACATAGGTCATCCTTATTCAGACTTCATTGTTACTATGGCTTCAGATTATTTAGAGGTAGTTTAGATATTGCTGGAATATTACACTGCCAGATCCAGAGGAATGGGGTGAAGTCCCCCTCCTCGTTTTCTCCAGACTCCTTACAATTGGTAACTGTGCGTTCATGCTGAGCCACTTTGTGATTTGGGGTGTCTTATGTGTACACACAAACACATACCTTGTATAGCGAAGGTGAAAGCAAACTTAATGTTTGGTATTTTGGGTGCTGGGGTAGTTAAGTGGAGAAAATGATTTGTGTGTACACCATTTACACTCTTTGTGAACATGGTGAAACCCAGCTTTCATGTTGTTGGAGTTCCTGAAGGTTTTCCTGCTACAGATCAGTGACGGGGGCAGCTGGGGCACCTGTTGTTTTAGAAACCTAAAACCTAAAACCTGGTTAGAATTGGTCTTCAGTAACCCATGCGTGTCGTAAGAGGCGACTAACGGGATCAGGTGGGCAGGCTCATTGACTTGGTTGACCCATATCATCAGTTCCCAATTGCGTAGATCGATACCCATGCTGTTGATCACTGGATTGTCTAGTCCAGACTCGATTATTCAAAGACCACCTCCATATAGCTGGTATATTGCTGAGTGCAGCATTAAACAACAAACCAACAAGATGACAATGTTTTGGTTGATTTTGTTGCAACAATTTTGTTGTTGATCCAAAGTTCTGTTCATTTTTGCCAAGCATATATTTGCATGTATATTGATTGGTTAATATTTGGGACTGTCTACATGGACAATACCAAATGCAAATCAATAACACTACTACAAGCAGTAATGGGATGTTTCTTAAGGTCTATGATTGATGTAAGGTAGCTTAGTCACGTCAGTTGGGGCGGTGGGGTAGCCTTGTGGTTAAAGCGTTCGATTGTCACGCTGAAGACCTGGGTTCGATTTCCGACAATCGTGATTTCTTCACAATATGTGAAGCCCATTTCTGGTGTCCCCTGCTGTAATATTGCTTGAATATTGTGAAAAGCGGTGTAAAACCAAACTCACTGGTCATGTTAGTGGTTCTTCTTCAGGCAGACTGGGGTTCCATTCCTACATGATTACAAAGATCTGCAATGATGGTGTCTCGGTTGATGTGATTGAATATTGCTACAACCAAACATTCTAACAATATTAAAATATATACATATTTTTTGTGTCTGTCTGTGGTTTTGTGTCTGATGTTTGATCATGTTTTAGAATTAAAGAAGAATGGGAAACGGGGAATCCAGTCAAACAAACAGTGATGGGGAAGAAAACATGTACAATTATCACAAGTCTGTCTTGAAAGAAGGTGCCTCACCTGTCAAAGGCAACAAGCAACGACTGACTACATCATTGAGGAATGACAGGTCAGCAGAATATACTCCTGAAACAGGATCAAGCCCGGAAGGGTCCACATTTGGTGGGGATACAAGTCAAGAAGACTCCACTTCCCGACAGGGAGGTTCTCACTTGCCTGAGACTCCAGAACCAAGCGATGACAGTTTTGTTGATGCTAACGAGGATTTAAACGATGATGAAAGTAATAACAAAGATGACAGCTACTCCAAATCACATGATTCAAGTCTGTCCCACTCAGGATCCTGTTCTGGGTCCATGAACAGGTCATCCGGATCCTATTCATTGCACTCAAGTTGGTCCAGCTCGGATCAAACGATCAACCGTTCTAGTGGTTCCAGCTCAAGTCTCCCGAACAGGATCCGCATCATCGACACATCTGAGAGTGAAGGTAATACCTTAAAGTCAGTTCCTGTAGAAATCCTGTACAAACTGTTTCCAATTTTGTAATCTGCCTGTATTTTCCCAGAGAGCAGACGGTCAACCCCATGTCCACATCATGCCAAAAGACAGGAAATGATGGTACTTGGTGTTACCCTGCCTTGTACTTACATAAAACAAGGATTGGTTGTCTTGGAGTATATATACATGTACTGTGCATGTCGGTTCGTTTCAATGGTATGTCAGGGGGCTGGTGTTATCAATCCAACATAAGTCTAAACAATAATACGCTGCCAATGTGATCAGGTAGTCATGTGATCATAGTACATGATACTTCTACCATGCATACAGGGTTTTATCTGGACCTACAAAACTAAGGGTCCAAAGGCAGAGATGCCAACCACTCCAATTTTGGCGAAGTTACTCTGATTTTCAAAAAACAAAATCTGCTCTCCGATTTCTCTTTTAGAAACTCCGATTTTTTAGAAAAAATTCTGAATATATTTTTAGGGTATACTATTTCTGAAGTCACCAGTGATTTATTTGAGTGAACACTGGTAAAAGCATTCAGATCCTTTGGGTGTTGATTGTGTATATTGCATGTTTTTGACGAAGAAGTTTCACAAAGTTTTTGCGAATGCATGTCATAGTCCATATAAAAGTGACACAAAATGGCAGAGCCGACCACACGCTCACCCCTAACTCGCACCTTTGGTGCTCAGGCCTGGCTTTCAGCCAGTCATGACTCCGTTTTCCTTAGATGCAGGGCTGGCATCTCTGCAAAGGACCCACAATTACAAATTATACCATTACCGATTACAACTGGTTTGCCATTATCATGATTATGCACAGATTGAAATGATATCAACAAAATATTGCTGACATTTTTTAAGCTTTACTGACATATATTTCAATGTATAAGACAACCATTAATCGCAAAGAAAATTGAGGCATGGTTATTTCATGATAAATTATTGTTCTATATTCACGCCTTTGTGAAGGATCAAAACCGACTCTGAGGTCTTGTTTGGAAAAGTAAGCCTGCAGTAGAGGGAAATTGGGCAGGGCCACTTTGAACCGACCGAAGATATACTTTTATATAATTTTTTTTTTAGTATTTGGTTTTCACCATGTGTACTGTTGAAATCAACTGGAATGTGACTGGCAGCCAATACCATGCCTTGCACACACAGTGCACATGTGCTGCTCTCACTACCTGGAGGTTCATGACTGTAGAATGGAACTTTACATTTACATACTCAATCGCATCATCTATTGAATGCTTGAGTAGGAAGTTGTTTCCCCAAAATATAGCTAGGCAATGCATATACATTCGCTTGACAAGTGATAACAGCTGTCAGTTTGTGAGAATATTCAGAAAATGATTAATTACCCCTAATTTTTCCTAAAATGGACTTGTCCAACATTACCAGGATTGGATTGTATTCAGAGAGTCACCATTACTTTGAATACTGGTAACTAATTAGAACTTGTATATGTTACTAACATCATTGTTAATGACATAATAAAACACTGAAAGGAGGATAAACCTCTTTGTCTTTGTGGTTTATAGCTTTAAGCAAATAACCTGATCACAATGATTGCTCTTTACACATGGTCGTATATATTTTGATAATGTTATTTTAATGATTGTGTTTCTTTGCAATTCAAATGAAGTTAGTAACCATGGGGACCTATTGGTTCTTCCTGTATAGCTATGTTTGTTTGAATTATTTGGTTTATTTCAGGTGAGGATGCAGATATAATCACCACCAAAAAGCACACCTCACAAGCGGCAACCCCAGCATCAGGTAACCATGGTAACAAGAAGCATCTCCCAAGACCTATCCCCGTTCATCGGATCACCACTGGATCTGAAGCCATGGGCAGGTCTGATGACACATCTGCTCCAAACCAACAGGTGAAAAGGAAAGCAGACGATATGGATCCTGAGTCGGAACCAGAAGAAAATCCAACCATGACTGCTCCAGTGAGGAGGTCTGGTGGAGTGAACAGACTGCGGGCCAGACGGAAGGCGCTGCACAACATAGTGCTCCGTCCTCAGACGCCAAAAGGGATTGATCAAAACCTACCGGGGGTCACTCAACAAACTTCAGAAGAGTCTGAAGGAGATGATGAGGTAATGGTTGTGGCATCAACCAGTGCTGCTGATCAAAACTCAGATGAAGATCAAAGAAACAAATTTGAACACTCAAATACTTCCCCGTTCACAAACTTCCGTCTTCAGCCATCCTCTTCCAATGCAGGTGCTGAGCTGAGCGCCAGTGCTGAGACACCCAAAGAGAGAACTGTAATTCCTGGAGATGACCCCAAATCATCTCCACTGACCAAACAAGGAATCAAAAGGGCAAACCCTGATGCTGACCCATCTTCAGGAAGTTGTGAAAAGAAGTCTTCAGGTGCAGTCAAGCCTCTTTCACAGAAGTTTGACATGTTTGAGCGGAATCCTGGCAATAGTAGTGGTACAGCAGAACAGATAACAACCCGAGTTCTGCCACAGCTGGGAAACTCTGGTCATTCTGCAGGACCTTCAGAAACTTCCGGAGGAGGTTCGGGTGGAGCTTCCAGAAATGGCAGGACCAGTGGTACAGCAGAACAGATAACAACCCGAGTTCTGCCACAACGGGGAAACTCTGGTCATTCTGCAGGACCTTCAGAAACTTCCGGAGGAGGTTCGGGTGGAGGTTCCAGAAATGGCAGGACCAGTGGTGCTGTGGAAACTAGCAGATCAAGTTCTGTTCAGGACAGGATGACAGATCATAATCATCATTGGACGTCCCAACTCCCTCGTGTTAATACCACTGCAGAGCAACGATTTCAAGCCAGTCCAAGAAACAGCATGGAACCATCCACTTCGGACTGGCATACAACCACGCTCAGAAACAAGGGAGATAAGTTCTCCTTCCTCCTAGCAGATGAGACCAATGTGCATATATGTTATGATGACATCACAACGTTACGAACCGATGCCTTGATCAATCCCACTGATGGACAGCTAACTCATGTAAATGAAACCGCCCATGCCATTGCCATGGCAGCAGGACCCCTAATGATCGAACAGTGTCATTTTTTTCTGCGCCAGCATGGAGGGCCCTTAGAAACAACTGAAGTGGTAGAAACATATGCATCGGGGTCGTTAAGTGGTCGGGTTGGTCACATTGTTCAGTTGGCCTCGCCCATGTACCAGGCAGCCAATGAGAAGGAATCAACAAGCCAGTTGCTGAAGTCGTATCTGAACTGTCTTAACCATGTCAACGACAAGCTTGGCCTTCAGTCCGCCACATTTCCATGTATTGGTGCAGGTAAGGAAAACCACTTGGTCACCAGTGTTACTGTTTGTTTGTTTATTTGTTGTTTGACCCTCACACAACAATATTCCAGCTATATGATGGCAGTCTGTAAATAACTGATTCTGGACCAGACAATCCAGTGATTAACATTGTCAGCATCAACCTATGTAATTGGGATTTGATGACGTGTGTCAACCTTGACTTGGAAAATTAATTTATTATTTTTATTTTTATTTGGTAACCTTTGTTAATTTTGATTCTAAGATGCCTAGCGGTTAGAACAATCGAAAAAAAAATACATTATCAGACAATAAAGGTATAGTTTTTTGATGACGTAACAATTGAATGACGTTATCCCGTCACTGCGCCATTCTAGTGTGCCCCCTCGTAATCGAACCATTTTACATTACGTCACAATGAAAGCGACGTCACGATGCATGTCAGTTGTCATCGCCTCGTACGGCCTCCTACAGTAAACTACACCGTTGCATCCCGTTTCTTGGTTTTCTGTTGCTTCACGCAGCTAACATCACTGGTGGAAACATTACGTTTATGTTTTACGACGGTTAAAATGTGTCATTTCGACTCACAAGTTTTCAGCGACACAGTAACGTTCAAGCGAATGTTTACATTCCCACAATGCAATTCGTGGAATGTCGCTGACTACTTCGACTTCCTCTGGATGTACTGATCTAAACTTACGTTGGTAGTAGAAATTCAAGCGTTCATATTGCCCCATATGGTTTATGTTAATAACAGATGTAATTAAAATAATTCAGAGAAGATATTTGATCGAACGTAAACCGTCATCAAACTGTTATCATTTTTTTTCTGGTAACGCTCGTCTTAACGTGAGGGGGCAGACACATCAGTTAGCCCTGGATGTGCGCTTGTTGGTAGGAATCTTAATTTAGGTCACAGACACCGCCATTGTTTAGTAACGCTAAGTAGTTTATTTCGTTAGCCCTGTTAGCCCTGTGCGAGGAATGAATCTTAATTTAGGTCAGGATTCTTAATTTAGGTCACAGACACCGTCGTTTGTTTTCTGCCTTAAATTAATCGTAATTATCCTTAGAAAGTATTAAATTTGGCATCTTAGAAAAGAAATACAGTTCGCTTCTACCACCATGTATAGTGTAATAAAAACACACTTTCGCCCTGAACTATTATAGCTAAAAGCACTTGAAGCGGACGCGTCCGCCCTCGTGCTTTAACTATGATAGTTCAGGGCAAAAGTGTGTTTTATTACACTATACATGGTGGTAGAGCAAAGTGTATTTCTTAATTATATTAGTCATTAGAGTAGCCAATGCTTTATGAACATAAAACAATCTTGATTTAAAACCTTTTTGTCCACTTTTACAAGTAATGCACAAATCAAAAAAGGATAAATATCAGGAGAAATGTGTTGGATTTGAGCAAGCTTTTTACATGATCTGATGTATTGTAATTGTGAAAGTAGGTCTCTTCAACTTGATTTGACCTGTTCAGAATTTTAGTTTTGTACTAGTCTGGAACTTGCAGAATTACGCTTACTTAGATACTGGGCCTGTTTCACAAAGCAATCATTGTGCTATGCATTGTGGAATGGGAACCTGATCACTTGTAGCATTTGTTGTACATGACCCAGAACAAGTAAGATCATTTATGTGTGGCCCATAGGGATCTTCATGAATTCAGAAATTTACAAATCATGTTAGAAATTTTGCTGTTTTCATATGAATGAATATTAGTCAATCATTTCAACATTTACAGTGTCATACAGGTTGTTTTTAAGATGCTTGTTTTGTTGTTTAATGCCACACTAAGCAATATTCCAGTTTTGTGATGGTGTCACAGAGGCCCAGATAAGTTGCGTATCCGGGTAAAATACGCATAGAAAATTTCAAATTACGTATTGAAAAATAATTGTTGCGTACCAATTACGCATTTAAAATGTTAGATATGCAAAAAGTTTAAAACAAATGCATACAGAATATATTTATAAAAATCGCTTGCGTAATGAAAAAGACATCGATTGCTATCAAGTGCTATCAAGTTGTACTGCTAGTATAGGACTAGTGTTGTACTGTCGGTACAGGATGAGGTATCTTTTATGAAATCATTTCCATTATATTTAAGTTGGTGTTGATTAGGTATGACATAAGGCAGAACATACCTGCTTAGTAAACTCACTTACTACTTAGGTGAGTAAAATGACTGAAATATGCACATATTTGAAAGCAGTGGGTAACGGAAAATGAAATACCCACTCAACATTCATAATACCCACTCCAAAAAAATACAGTGGGTACAGTTCCCACATGAGCTAAATCTTATCTGGAGCTCTGTGTCATGTAAATTATCAGGTGTCGACAAGATAATCTGGACATTGATATCATATGCATCATTCTGTGAAAATGGAATACAATGACATGTGTCAACCAAGTCAGCGAGCCTGACCACCCGACCCCGTTAGTCGCTTCTTAGAAGCATGGTTTGCCAAAGACCAATGCCAAGCTTGATGTTCATGAGTATTTTATGACAGTACATTGATACAGTACAAGAATTCACCCTTGAATCACACAGCCTTTCTCCTATTTAGATTTTGTCTTGTTTATTGACCCATGAAGATCCGGGTTAGAATGAACCTTCAGTAACCCATGCTTGTCGTAAGAGGCGACTAGCGGGATCGGGTGGTCAGGCTCGCTGACTTGGTTGACACATGTCATTGGTTTCCAGTTGCGCAGATTGATGCTGATGTTGTTGATCACTGGATTGTCTGGCCCAGGCTCGATTCTTTACACACCGCCCAGGGTTTTACATAGCTCTTCGAAACTGGGAGTCCTGGGGACTCAGGGCATATGTATTCTGAGAGTCCATTTCCAAAATTGGGAGTCATCAATTTGCATGCAATCAGTGATCATGGATGCTTCCCATTTGATAAGGATTATGTTATAATATGTGTTACTTTCAATGTCATTAGAATAATGATTGTAAACAGAATGTTATGTTTTAATATGGGATATCATTACAAACTCAGAAGTCATGCGTCCTTTAAAACCCAGGATTGTCACCATATAGCTGGAATATTGCTGTGTGCGGCGGCGTAAAACTAAACTCACTCACTCACTTTTGCTTATTGGCTTATCAGCAGTGTGTAGCATATTGTTAATTTGAAAAAAAATTTTGAAAGCTTGTAGCAACGTTTAACCCCCTGGGTGCCACAGGGACATGTATATCCTTCCTCTTCAACACTCACTGTGAAGTCCAATAAAATTCTAAATATATCAGGCACACAAATATACTACATAGTTTTGAATTCTGCGAGAAATGCCAAATTAAACAAAATTCATAGCCCAGTGCTTCTATCGGTGCACGATAAGAAGTGGAGAAATTTGCTGTTTTATTAACGCATAACAAAAGTTTGGACAACATTTAGCAGCGACTATTTCTCAAACCGCCGAGGTAGTTTCACATATATTTATACCAACGGATAGGAAATTTAATATTCTACATTTCTGTGTAGTTTTATAGCCGTACACAGATCATCGACCACGCTAGTGCAATTCTCGCACAATGATCACTTTTTAAACCTTATGAAAGCCAGTTGCGTTTTGGGGCAATGAAAATGAGTGAAGGTAGGGGTTCAGGGTGAATCAGGGCTCATCACTACATACACATCCTTGTGGATGATCAGGAAATAATGACAGTGATTGTTTTTGTTTCTTCAGGCTCCTTCCCACAAGATACCTGTATCAACGTGTTCTTCGAGGCACTGCTTGTGCACTTAGCGGAAAGGAAGACCTCAAGCCTCAACATGGTCAAGTTTGTCTTTAACAATGAACATTTAGCAAATTTAGCCATTGCAATGATTCAAGCCCACCTTGAGAGAATAATTCTTGAGGGAATTGACACTTTGACGGCTGAGGCGATGAACAGCTACTATGGCAACAGTAGATTTGAGTGTTGTCAGAACGACATCAATGACCGTCTTGGACGCCAAATGGAGGTGGACTCCCCCAAGAAAATGTTCCGTGGACCACCGGTGAAGAGACCACGTCTTTGAGAGACGACATCAAGTCACAAAACTCACATTGTGTTCATGTTTTATATTTCATCGAAACTATATCTTTGTAAATCTTTGAAATTAGGCCTTTTACTATTTATGAGCAGGTTTTCAAATTCTTTGAAATTTTAAATTCTCCACTTTAATGTAGTTGGTTAAAACAACTACATTAAATACTTAGCTAAAAATAAACTGATGTGGCTTGGTGAGTGAGTTTTGTTTTACTCCGCTTTTAGCAATATTCCAGCAATATCACGGTGGGGGACACCAGAAATGGACTTCACAGATTTTACCCATGTGGGGAATCGAACCTGGGTCTTCGGTGTGACGAGCGAACGCTTTAACCACTAGGCTACCCACAGCCCCATGATGTGGCTTGGCACACAGTATGATTTATACAATACTTTATAGCTTTTGTTTTCTTATGTGTTTAATCACAGGTTGTTTTGTCACAATGCCATCAGTCTATTTTGAGTTAAAATGGAGAAATTCTATAAAAAGTATCATGTCCAAATACTTTTTTGTTTGTTTGAATGAATACTTTGGTTTTACTTTTACAAAGTGTGATCCTCTCCTTGTAAACATGATAAAAGTCTGTAAGAGGACTTTTTAAGTTGGATTGCAGGTTTGAATGTTATATAATGCAGAGATTTATGTTGACATGTTGTGTGGTTGACCTGGAGTTGGCAGCAAATTTTAGCGTAATATGCCAGTTGACATGACTGAGACTTAAATAATTAATTATTCATGTAATTATATTATGATGATTGTATTTTCTTAGTTTAAAATCCTGCATAAATCCCTGTGATGAATCAGGATGATTTGCCCTTGATTGTGAATTGGTGGTTGTCTCCCTTTGATTAGGTTGAATATATAGATTATTATCCCCTGCAACGCATTTTGCGGAGGGTATTAAAATGGACTCCGTCCGTCCGTGCACATTTGTCTTTTCCGGAGCAGAACTCTAAAACCGTTCAATATTTCTTCACCAAAGTTGGCACATACATGGATCTGGTGGTGTACTGGTGCCTTTTGGTAGTTTTGGAATTCTGAATAAAATATTTGGCGTTTCCATGACATCAAGTTCGACTGAGACTGAAATTAGTGGTAGTGCTCTTTTCCGGAGCAGAACTCTAAAACCGTTCAATATTTCTTCACCAAACTTGGCACATAGATTGGTCTGACGGTGTACTGGTGCCTTTTGGTAGTTTTGGATTTCTGAATAAAATATTTTTGGCATTTCCATGGCAACAAGTTTGACTAAAACTGAAATTGGTGATAGTGCTCCTTTCTGGAGCAGAACTGTAAAAACCTTTCAAAACTCTCCTTCCACTTTTCTATATACACACCTAAATATTTGACATAGTCATAACTCGTAGACATAATCATGAAGAGTATTTTGCCATTGTGGGGGATATTGATGACTTTGTCTTTTTGTTTTAGTTAAGTTGCTTCTTGCCAAAATATGAAAATATGCAACAATTTAGAAAATACTAGTATGTCATTCACCACCAAGTCTCTTTTCCACTGTGGTAGATGTTGTTGGAACAGATTCAGTCCATAAAGCATGAACTAACTTACATGGTGAAGTCAAGCAGGTTTCATAAAAAGTGTTTATTTCATATATGCAGGATGTGGATATATGGAACTACCTTTCTGGTGACCAGGACAAAATGTTTCGAATTTTGTGAAGTCTCTTCCAGTGGAAAGAGTATCTGCCTGGAGAGTGGTTCAGTCATGGCTGTGTCATACCTGAAGTCAGTAAAATACAGTGCTTGTTGACCCGTGAAGATCCAGATTATAATTGGTATTCAGCATCCCATGCTTGTCATAAACGTGATGAAGGGGATCGGGTGGTCAGGTTTGCTGACATCGTTGACACATCATCATATCCAAACTGTGTAGATCAATACTCGCGATGTTGATCACTGGATTGTCTGGTCCAGACTCAATTATTTACAGACAGCCGCCATGTAGCTGGAATATTGCTGAGTGCGGTGTTAGACAACTAACAAAACAGCTCTTGTTGTTATAATGTATGTGTGATGAATTATGGGGAATTATGAAGACTGATGGAGTCAGTGTAATGTGAGTGGGGTGTCCATGATAAACTGTAGTATCTTAGTGGGCTAGCACTACAGTGCCTGGATTAGACTGCACTAGTACAATCATAGACACACATGCATGTACATCATTGGATATAGTGCAGTAATCTTGCAGGGATTTACCTTGAGTCCTGTATTTGAGGGTCCCTGGGACTTATACTTATACTTTTCAGGGGTCCCTGACGCTTAAATATTATTAATACTATAAAAAATTGTTGCAATTCATTAACTGTTACTGTATTGTGTATCATGATCATAACATTGTTACAGTAATTAAATTACAACTGATACCAAAGCCCGGCTTTGTAGCAAAGTGAAATTTTTAGAAAAAGTATTTGGACGTTTTCTGCGTCCCTGTGGATGCGCTAATAACTTTTGTTGTGTCCATTGTCAATTTTTATGTGTATAGGACACAGGAATTCGTGTCCCGTCAATCCCTGATCTTGTAAGTGACTTTGAATTTAGTTCTTGTAACATCACCTCAGGTCTTCGGAAGTTCTCAAAAAGTTTGTTTCTTGAGCACAATATACAAAAATGTCCATATATCTAGTGATGGAGAGTGAGTTGTGTGTGTGTGTGTGTGTGTGTGTGTGTTTTATTTCATATAAACATGTATATATATATACACACACATGTATCAATGTATTTTTCACTTAATGAGTAAGATATAAACCATATCATTTGTAATACTTTAAGCATGCATTTATAGTAGTAGCATGTTTGGCTGTTTTTGTTCTGGTTTGCCGTGATATAGATTTTACCTGAATGTAGAATGTGCCTAGATGTGATGGTCAATATAGATTGTTATATGTTTCTTAGCGACTGTTAATGATAGTTGTCAAATCATGTTTCTGAATTTCTGTTGTGTTTATTCTGTTTATTTGATGGAACCAGTCCACCCTCTGCTCATTTATTATATATATTTAAACAAGAGCTGCTATTTTGTTGATTTCTTGTTAGCTTGGGCTTCCCCATTCCACAGAGCGATCATATCCCTCAATCTTAACTACCGTAGACCTGTGAAGATCCGGGTTAGAATTGGTCGTCAGCAAACCATGCTTGTAAGAGGCGACTAATGGGATCACGTCAGGCTCGCTGACTTGGTTGACACATCATTCTATCCCAATTGTGTAGATTGATGCTCATGATGTTGATCACTAGATTGTCTGATCCAGACTCGATTATTTACAGACCACCTTCATATAGCTGGAATATTGCTGAGTACAGCATTAAACAACAAACAATCATAACTACCAAACTTTGTTACAGACTGGGGTAGTGAGGTGAGGGTACAATGTGTGAAACTCTGGTGTTCTCTTTGGAACATTCTTGACGGTGGCAAAAAAACCGTTCTCACCCACCTGCCTGCTAACACAGACACTATGATCGCTTTGTGAAACAGGGTCCAGTATTGGTCAGTGCTTCCTTCACCTACCAATTTGATTGGTTCAGAGTGGACATGGGGGAACAGATATCTCAGAGAACTTTCTAGGAAAATTGGGATGTAAAATAGCCACTATAAAGACAGTTGCAGTCAGTGAAACTGCATTGCATCTCTTCACCCAGCTCCTCAGTACAGGTAAATCTTTAATAACAGTTGTTGGTGATGTTCATTTGATTAAAAATAGCAACATATTAAACTTGGGGTTATCTACTAGTATTTGAAGTGGTGTGCAGGGTAGTGGGAATTTGTATGGAGACAGATTTTTCAGATAAGCTCAGACACAAATGTCCAGCTTATTATCAATAAAACCAGGATTTTGTTGAAATGGAGTCTATGTATAAGTACATCTTCAAGTTTGCTGAACTTGAACCTGGTTACTGAATTTAAAGAATAAAAACTGTATTTTAAGTTGAAAAATATGCTTACAGTGTAAATAATGGATTTATCTAAGTTTTTCTGTTCTGACATGATAATAAGTAGTAAGACTTCTAAATAGTAGTAGTGAGTCTATGTAAATGTTTGCAGCTTCATTATTTGAGTGTAACATGTGACATGTATCTACAGCTCTGTACAGAAATAGAGGATATTATATGAGTGCCCATATCATACTATGTTTACAACATGAGTGCCTAAATGTTGGTATTTCCCGGCCGAGCGAGATCGAGGGATATACCGATATTTAGGCACGAGTGTCGTAAACATAGTATGATATGGGCATGAATATAATATTCTGTTTATTATCGAAGTTGTCAAATTGAGGAAAATAATCCAAATCTACTTTCAAACATAGGCTGTCTACTCGCCACCGCCGCATGTATTACGCAACGTCACAGAAGTGATATTTTGCCCTAGGGCATCGTATGAAAAATATTAACCCGATATGTTGCCCTCGTAGGTATTAAAACATATTATTATCCTCTCACATTATCAGCTTCATTCTCTTGTCAAGAAGATTAAAATATGTATCATGTATGATTTCCTTTGTTATGGACTTACTTCAGATTGACCAAATACAAGTGACACAAATGCTTGTGAAATAGCGCATTGCCCGTATCGTCACTGTTGGCTTCAACAAATATTGATGCACTTAATTTGGATCCTTGACTACAATGCAGAGGTTGCCCACCTCTCTCTTGGGGGCTGCAAATGAGAATGAGGATTGCAAAAATCCTCTTTGGAACTCATTTGGTACTTGGTTGTGTTTGGAATTAGTGGGATTCTCTCATCATTGATAACTAATTAGTCAAAGGCCCACACCACAGAGTTATGTCACCTAAACACGGGTCATGATCTCTTATCCTAGATTTGGACTGATTAAGATCCTTGGTTTTCTGAGTTTCATACCTGTGCTCATGTGATTTACCAAATCCTGAAAGTCTACAACTTGAGTTTCTTTGGGATTTCCTCCCACAATGGAGTAAATGTGACAGAACAAGGATAAGTAACATTAAGATAACCGGGAACGTAAACCCAAGCTGCTTCATCACCTTGTAAGAGAAAGGTCAGCAAGCCTGCTATGTTGGTGCATATCATCTAGGTAAATCTTGAATGAGACTGGATTCCTATTTCAAACTGGCACAGACAATGATTTCGATGAAAGGAAATATTTGGAAAGAAAATATCTAAAACCTTGGTTGATGTACTAGACTCGGCTCCGGACTAATGGCTGTAGTCACAGACTGTAATTATCATTACATCTTAAGTTTGTGAAGGCACAAACAAGTAGAACAAGTAATACAAGTAATACAAGTAATACATCCCAACAAAGGCTGATGCAAAAACACAACACAATGCATAACAATAAATGTTTATTATGAAATACATTACAGTTTGTAGTTACAATAGATCCAGCCATTACCAGAAGACATTTCAATTAGGCACAAGTGTTTTATATCAATATTACTGTCAAACAAGTTTTCGGACATTCATTGTGTGGTGGTAAATGTAATAATTTATCTGGTCAAAAAGATAATTTACACATGAAACAATGAATAAGAAAATAAAATAACCATGCATGGCTGGATGTGATATCACAGACGAAAGCTGATGTAAAATGCTTGTCACATTATAACCTGTAATTCTACAGAAGGGTAGAAAATGCTGATTGTAGGAATACATATATACATGTTCTCTGAACAAATTTAAAGGTTGGAGGATTAACTTAAGCTGGAAGCCATTTGGAATCTGCAATAAAATTCAATGACCTTTGGAACACATTCAGTATTTGTCAGTTGCCATGACAATTAAACCCGAACTGTGATGATAGCAGTTGTAAAGTACTAGTATGAGATATCGAGATTCATGGAGAATGGACGGTTGACTGATTCACCACCAGGCGTCGTGGCCATGCCTGGTCAGTTGTCTCCCCCTTCCTCGTCAGATTGTATAACCTCTTCATTCTGGAAGATACACATAAATTTGACAATATGAAAATGAACATTCTAAATCAGCAGTTGTAAGTTGCAAATCTTACTGTTGTCCTCACCACTGAAAGTATTTCTGCAATTTTTGTAGCTATTGCATGTAATATTCGTTACTGACAGACTGGACTGGTTTCATTCTACAAGTATTAACACACGTGCAGCTAGTTTGGTGATGTAATAATCGTGACATTTCATTATTCTATTTCAGATGTTATGAGGACTATCATGTGAGTTCAATCTAGCACTACTCCATCTGTTCATTGTGATCATGTCTACGTCTAGAGGTCAAGTAAAGGCAATAAGGAAGTGTGGAAAGCAACATTTCCATAGCTTATGCAAGAACTGGAGTTAATCAGAAATATAACTATACGATTTCTAAGATGTATCATTCATAATGCAAAGGATTTTTAGTGACACTTGAAAATGCATTCCAGTTATACCTATTTACTCTATCACAGACTGACAATATCATACTGATTCGTTCTATGTGACTGTTAAACAAGCAGACTAAATACTGAATACATGTGATTACATGAGAAATGACAGATAGCTATCTACAGGTGAGACTGGATACAGGTGAGTACAGGGAGAAGAGGGAAGACGGTCCAGATTGTACTGGAGACACAGGTAGACATACACTGGGCAGACAGCTACAAACTACATCTACATAAGCAGCCCAAATTGAATATATGTACAAGAGAAGGACACTGGTTACAATAATCATGTTGGTAGAGTTTGTTTTGCCAACAAATGAAACAGAAAGAATGCATGTTGTTTTATGACACAGCCAGCACTATTGCAACTATATCAAGCACTTCAAACAATCCTGTTGTGGCCAGCAAGTTGGTTGATATCATGAATAGTGATGCATGCTCTTGGCCTATGGTGACACACAACTGGACAGGTCACACATTGTGACACCAGGCGAGCTATTCTCAAAACGTTTGTAGCCCTACGAACTTCTTAAGCCCATTGGCTACAATCAAAGTTAAGAATCTTAGCGATACGAACGTTTCAAGAATAAGGGCCCAGATCCTCATATTTGTTATCTCTGACAAGCACTGGGATACTGGAATACCAATAGGGTTTAACAAGTGTTAACTGTCACAAATACAAGACAGCAACCACAATATTTTAGCTTATCGTTCGTATTCCATTTGGTTGAAAGTTGCCTCTCAGAGAAGTTTGGATGCAAAACCATTTCATGGACCTAACAATACTGACCATGCTGAAAATGAGATGACTGAATGCTTCATTATTTCAAAAAAGAGACATATCAAAACAATCTTAAATCCAGAAAAAGGCTCCACACATTTCCATTTGGTGTAATACACAAGCACATCTATGGTGTAGACAAACGGCAGATGAGTATGTCTCTGGATATAGGAATCAATGACATGACCAGCATATTATGCAACTTGCAGTGCCACCAACAACATAGCCATTCCTACCAATAGAAGCATGGAGAAAAGATAGTGGACACAAGCATCAGCATCAAACAGATATTGCACAAAGAGAGTCAGGTGTTAATTGTTTGACTGCTTACGACTTTCAATTCCAGTTTTAGTTATTCCTTGGTGTAATTGTTGAGTCACCAAAGAAGAAAAAAAAAGCAGAGACAAGTGGAAAAGATTGAACAAAGGAAATATGTGAAACTATTTTCAGTTCTTTATGCCAACAACACAAACAGCAAGTCAGTTTGGTCCTTACACATGGTACCCATGTGGGCCATTGAACCAGAGATGATTCTCAGATGACTTGCAGTACTAACAGTAAGATGTAAGAGTTAACACTGAAATGTTATTAACACCGCAGTCAGCAATATTCCAGCTCCATCACAGTGACATGAAAGCAATCGTATAAGAAAGAGATGAACAACTGGTGGATATTATTTGCAAATCCATGCCATCTGAATAAATGACACTTATCAACCAAACGACTGAGCAAGACCACATAGTTACCGCTAAAATCAAGCACAGACTGTTGGCTGATAGGACCAAGGATACCACAGTATTACCCTAAGTTTAGTTATGGATTACAGGTATAAATGTAAGAACTGAAGCTGAAAGTGTTCTGATATATTTGGAAACAAGACACCAGGTAGATATGAAGAAGTCAGCTGTACCAAAGGCAGATAAAAATATTCTACCACATTGTCAGACAAAACATAGATCTGGGTTTACAACATAGACAACCAGGAAGAGGATCCAGACAAGAGGTAGAGGTAAGTAGCAACATCAACGCCAGCAAACACACAGCGCCACCTAGTGATGATGACCTGGGACAACTGAGCATGCACCTACTGTTGATGCTATGTTACACTCTAGTCCTGTTTCTCCAAGGTTTCCTCTTCTGTAACCTGTGGTAATATTCAACATGTGGTGACACATCATTCCTACCTTTCCAAAATTCTAGCGGACTCTTCCACTACTTTATGTGTTGTCAAGTAACCGTAATTATTATACCATGTGTTAATGTATTTTCTACTGTACTCTTCCACTTTTTATGTATCTGCAAGTAATACTATTAATACCATTCTATACATGTATGTTCCAGTGGACTATTCCACTGTTTTATGTGGCAGCAAGTAACAGTATTTATGCCATGATATACTGGACTCTTCCACCATTTAATATGTCTTCAAGTAACATTATTTATGCCATGATATACTGGACTCTTCCACCATTTAATATGTCTTCAAGTAACTTCATTTAATAGTAACAGTATTTATGCCATGATATACTGGACTCTTCCACCATTTAATATGTCTTCAAGTAACAGTATTTATGCCATGATATACTGGACTCTTCCACTATTTAATATGTCTTCAAGTAACAGTATTTATGCCATGATATACTGGACTCTTCCACCATTTAATATGTCTTCAAGTAACATTATTTATGCCATGATATACTGGACTCTTCCACCATATAATATGTCTTCAAGTAACATTATTTATGCCATGATATACTGGACTCTTCCACCATTTAATATGTCTTCAAGTAACAGTATTTATGCCATGATATACTGGACTCTTCCACTATTTAATATGTCTTCAAGTAACAGTATTTATACCATGATATACTGGACTCTTCCACTATTTAATATGTCTTCAAGTAACAGTATTTATACCATGATATACTGGACTCTTCCACCATTTAATATGTCTTCAAGTAACAGTATTTATACCATGATATACTGGACTCTTCCACCATTTAATATGTCTTCAAGTAACAGTATTTATACCATGATATACTGGACTCTTCCACCATTTAATATGTCTTCAAGTAACAGTATTTATACCATGATATACTGGACTCTTCCACTATTTAATATATCTTCAAGTAACAGTATTTATACCATGATATACTGGACTCTTCCACTATTTAATATATCTTCAAGTAACAGTATTTATGCCATGATATACTGGACTCTTCCACTATTTAATATATCTTCAAGTAACAGTATTTATACCATGATATACTGGACTCTTCCACTATTTAATATATCTTCAAGTAACAGTATTTATACCATGATATACATGTATGTTCCAGTGGATTCTTCCACCCATGTTCAGTGCTAGTTGCTAGATTAACACAATGCCGCATGTTTGACTCATGTAAAGTGTCACATGCAAACAAATCAACACTAGGATATATAAAATATGCCTAAATATGAGGTTTCAGCTTTATATCTTTTTGAATAGTGAAATTCCAAATCATATTTGTTAAAGAACTATTGATGTGAACATGGTAACACCAATTCATTTGTTTTTGTAAAGGAATAATATAACCAAAACAATAACATGTACAACACAAGCTGAATATGCTTCCAGTTTATATCCGTTGAAACTCAAGCTAACATCTAGTTGGACATTGTCATCATGCCATTGTTCATGTGCTTTACAATCTGAAAAGCTGCAAAATCTAGTTTGTATAGATTGTATTAATGGACTATGGCCATATTGGGCATGTGTGACTAGTATTTGTACTGATGTTAAAACTATGTTAAAGCTATAATTTACTACCTAGAATATTTAAATCTAAAAGATCTTACAGGAGATGTTGAAAATTTATAATAATTATAATAATAACAATGATGCTTGCCCTAGTGCTAATATGTCCTTCATGTACATGTCACAAAGCACCACCATGCCCCATTTGTCATATATCCCCATCTTGCTATGTCAATAATGTACTCCCCTCATGTCACACTGCTCATGAACCCCATCGCTAATAAAACTCCCCCAACCCCCATATCTCACTTCAAACATATCATACCCCAGTGCTAACAAATTCCCTTCATACCCTATTGCTAATGAACCCTTATACCCCATCGCTAACATATCATGTCACACAGCTGATGTACCCTCATGCTCCATTGCTAAAATACCACCTCCCCTCATGTCTTACTGCTAACATATCCCCCTCATACCCTTATAGCCCATTGCTACCATATCTCTCTCATGTCACCCAGCTGATGTACCCCCTTCAAGCCCCTGCGCTAACACCCCACACCCCACCCCACCCATACCCTGTTGCTAATGAACCCTTATACCCCATTGCTAACATATCCCTCTCATGTCACACAGCTGATGTACCCCTTCAAGCCCCTGCGCTAACACCCCACCCCACCCCACCCATACCCTGTTGCTAATGAACCCTTATACCCCATTGCTAATATATCCCTCTCATGTCACACAGCTGATGTACCCCTTCAAGCCCCTGCGCTAACACCCCACCCATACCCTGTTGCTAATGAACCCTTATACCCCATTGCTAATATATCCCTCTCATGTCACACAGCTGATGTACCCCCTTCAAGCCCCTGTGCTAACACCCCACCCCACCCATACCCTGTTGCTAATGAACTCTTATACCCCATTGCTACCATATCGCCTCATGTCACACAGCTGATGTATCCCCTTCAAGCCCCTGGCGCTTAACACCCCACCCCACCCCACCCATACCCTGTTGCTAATGAACCCTTATACCCCATTGCTAACATATCCCTCTCATGTCACACAGCTGATGTACCCCCCTTCATACCCCACAGCTGACTCCCAACACAAGCACACTCACACACATAGAATTGACAATGTATCCCCCTCATGCCTGTCTAACATTCACCCTATTTGAAAATGCTAACATACCCCCTCATTGGCCTCCTCCTCTTGTCGCCTCTGCTCGTAGATCTCCTCTGCCTCACTGCGCTCCTCCTCTGTGTACTCATCCTTGTCCAGCCGCTCCAGACTGCGGAGGGAGATGAGCACCTCCAGGCGGTAGTCATCCTCCTCTGCTATCGGGTTCTCTGTCACAAAGAGGGAGGCAAACCATTAGCACATACAGTCAGCTACAAACAGCTTAACATGTATACAATGTCACAGATGGTACCAGTCACAAATACAGTAGAAGCCCTCTAAACCGGCCGTCGTTGGGACCGGCGAAAAATGCCAGTATAGAGGGCATGCCAGTTTGGAGAACTTTTCCCTTTTCAACCTGAGAATGATCTTCCATGTGCCGTAAAATATGACTGAACACTTGACGCTTTTTCAAAATGTCTGAAACTGTTTGCTTGCCAATTTGGTATGTAAGTGCAAGATCTTTTTGAGTAGGCCGAGGAATTGCATCAAAATCTTTTATCAGCTGAATTTTCTGTTCAAGAGTTAATTCCAATCTAGCCTGCTTGACTGGACCAGCCATCTTGACACAGTGAGCGGCTGACAAATTGTGACACGACAATTAATATATAATACAGGCAACATCAATGAGCTTAATGCTCTGTTGTTAATAAACGCTCAGCCAATCAGCCAATCAACAGGAGCGCCGAGATACCAGATGCCGGTTTAGAGAGCGTTAATTACTGTACAAACAGTCATTTCAAGGGCGGTCTTTGTTGTGCTGAAATACGGAATAGACTGACGCCGGATTAGAGGGTGTGTAAATGGTCATAAAGTAACTAGCTTCTGCCGGGACCAAATTCTAGTGCCAATAGAGAGCATGCCGGATTGGAGGGCTTCCACTTGAAACATTGTTGAGTGAATTCCAGGAGGTTCTGAGAGATATGCATCAAAACATTGTTAACTGAAAGTCTTAGAGATTCTGAAAGATAGTAAGTTATCAAGTTGTTTGTAACAGAGAGACAGTATTAGACATTAGAACAGTTCTATCTAAACAAGAAAGGCTCAAACAATATAATGAGTTACATGTCAAATAGTGCAGTTGCCAGTTCCTCATTGAGTATTTTGGAACTAGATTATATTTTTACTTTTGATGGACTACTTTGAATTTATGTGAGCAGATATACATTGGGACTGCTCTTTGTTTGAACACTCAAAACAGTTGTACATTGCATAACTATAAACTTGACACTGAAAAGCTTATTTCAATTCAAATGAAAGGTTTCATAAAAACTGTGACTTAGATCTTTCACTGACAGAAATACAGAGATCTGTTCTTACCTCCAAGAGCTAAAGCTCTAAGTTTTGGCAGCACCTTGAGCTTGCTGCATTCTTTGATATTGGAGACATTGTTCCCCCTGTAGTGAAGGGTGAATCATTGTTTAAATAATCACAGGTTGGTTTCACTCAGAAATATTCAAGCTATATTATAGCGGTCTGTAAATAAGTCTAGACCAGAGAATCCAATGATCAAGGACACCAACATCAATGCATGTAATTGAGGCATGATGACATGCAACAAAGTCAGGAAGTAACCACAGAATCCTGTTAGTCGCTAATTACAAGAAGCTTGGGTTACTGCAGTGTATGAAATAAGCCAAAAATCCAGCCAGACATCAGGGCTGGTAACTTCAAAATGTTACCAGCCCAAATGGAATTAACCAGACCAAATATGATGAATTTACTCAGATGTATGGAACATCTAAAATTTGTACCAGACCATCAGGCAGACTGTAAAGTCGAACTAACCTGTAGAGGTTTCAGATTCTTTGAATATATTCCTCCTTGGGGTACTTATGAGCATTTAAATGTCCATTTAAAATCCCTACGACAGTTGTAACAATATTTGAATAAAATATTTACAAAACAAAAAACTACGTTTTTGTCTTGTGAGACCACCCCTACAGGGCCCTACGGCCCCCTACAGCCAAGAGCAGGTAACTCTAGACTATACCCTCGTACCTCACTTTCCATGCTGAACGAAATCAGACAGAATGTGGGGAGGTGGGCGGGCGTACCCCAAGGAGGAATATATTCAAAGAATCTGAAACCTCTACAGGTTAGTTCGATTCTTTTTCATATATTCCTCCTTGGGGTACTTATAAGCATAAGACAGACTCCTAAAGACGGATCTAGGGAGTGGCATTCTGTCCGCATAAAACAACCCCGACAAGAAGAGGAATTTCCCAAGCTAAAAATAGCAGAAAAAAGCTCACTTACCTGGTCACGTGTCCACCATAGCCAATCAGGCGGGGGCATGAGCCAGGGTCAGGGTCGAACACATTACAATTACAATGCGAAACCTCGCTAATGTAAACAGCTGAGATAAACCCCCCTCCCTCCCGTAATCAATCGGAAGTGAAGATAAGGGAATCCAGCAATAAGCCCCAAGAAACAAAATGCCGTAATACTTCTATTAAGCAAAGGTTTCTAAGGCAATAGGTCTAGAGCAGAACGGAATAATACAGAAGACATGGGAATAAAAAACCATCACCATATAAAACCCGTCACATAGGGAATAGGTAAAAGTTTAAAAAAAACAACACCAGTTAAAATCGGCAGATAATGGTTCATGGCATAAAAACCTCGAAAGCTCAATCGGCTAGAGAGGTGGAACCTTGCCCACTGGAGAGAACTGACTGACCGAACCGAGCACGCTCACTGGAGAGTCTGTCAAGTTGGTAATGACGGATGAACGTACTCGGTCGGCGGAGCAGATCTCCTCAATGGGCAGGGCTGCAGCGTAAGCTTTCGATGTAGCAACTGCCCTAACCGAATGAGCTTTCAAACCTTCAGGTGGGATACGACCTTTGTGAGTATAGCTTATATGTATGGCAGAGACAAGCCACCTAGATATGGTTTGCTTGTTCGCCGGAAGACCAGCCTTGACCCCGCCATAACAACAAAACAATTGGTTATCCTTACGGATACCCCTTGTTCGTTTGATATAAGCCTTAAGGGCCTTACGGACATCTAAGACGTGAGCACGTCGTAGAGAGGTACCGGGCAGGGGAGGCTGAGTGAAAGCCGGAGCTCAATAGGCGCCGTCACATGAAAGGCACTATCGCCTACCCGCCTGCCCGAAGTTACCGCCACAAGAAAAGCCGCCTTCCACGTTAACAGCCGGAGTGAAACAGCCGACAGATTGTGAAATAGTGGACCGGACAGCCAATCAAGAACGATTGGCAAGTCCCACGGGGGACTAATCCGCCGAACAACCGTACGGATTCTGTCCACGGCTGCTAAAAAGCGCTGCACAAGAGGGTGCTGCCCCAAGAGTGCACCGTCATAAGGAATATGGAAGGCCGAAATAGCCGTAGAATATCCTCGAACAGTTGAAGCCACTAGACCGGCATCCAACCGAGACTGGAGGAATTCCAACACAGAGACTAAATCTGCAGAAAAGGGATCAAGAATCCCCCTGTTGACACACCAGCGCACATAACAGGCCCATCTATCCTCATTGTGTCTGCAACTGGTGCAGGAATTCCACTCGCTTGGAGGCGATTCCGGACAGCGGCCAAGCCACCCACTGAATCCTGGGATTCGGGTGGGACGCTCAGTTCTGGGATAGGAGGTCCGGTCAAAAAGGTAATAGAACAGGAGGCTGAGCCAGAAACCTGATGATTACCGGAAACCAACTTTGAGCCGACCAAAGGCGTACAAGAAGCACAAGTAGCCGAGCTGGTTGCGCGGTCAGCTGAGACAGGACCTTGGAGATCAGTGGTATTGGCGGAAACGCCCACAGTACCCTGCCCGTCCAATCTAGCTGAAAGGCGTTGTTGGCTAGCGCCCTCGGATCCGGAAGCCGAGAGCAAAACACAGGAATCTGGTTCGTCACCCCAGACGCAAACAGATCCACCTGGAACGACCCGAACAACTGGGAGATAATCCCGAATATCCCCCGGTCGAGCATCCACTCGTGTGGGGCTAGTATACGCCGTGAGAGAGCATCTGCACGCACGTTGTCTACCCCGGGAGATAAACAGGCAAAACCTGAATGTTGAACTGATCGCACCACAGTAGAAACTGCCACGCCTCCTGAAGGAGTGACGGAGACACTGTGCCGCCTTGCTTGAGGATGTAAGTCATGGCCGTCTGATTGTCCATCTCTAGACGAACCACATGGCCCCGAACAAACTCCCGAAAGCCCTCGAACACCCGGCGGACTGCTCTCAATTCTAACACATTGATGTGCAGGCTGACTTCCCGCTCCGACCATAGGCCTGAGACTGAGTGTTCGCCCAGGACACACACACACACACACCCCCCTCCTGTGAGGGAGGCGTCCATCTGAACTGAGAGGGAAGGTGTCGGGGTGTCTAGGGGGATCCCCCTGGACAAATTCCCGACTTCCGTCCACCACCGCAAGTGAGGAATCAACCACTCGGGCGTCACGAGAATAGTCTCGTAGCTCTGCGAGTGGGACCACAGCTGCGCTAACGCCTGCTGAACGGGTCTCATCCTCAGACGCGCACGCCAAACCACATCCACTGTCGCCGCCATGTTGCCTAGCAACCGAAGTCATGTTCGAGCTGACGCAAGGGGCGACTCGAGAAACTGTAACACAGTCCTCTGGACTTTGACGATACGGTCCGGAGCGAGGGAAACAATCCCCTGCTCCGTGTTGAACCTTGCCCCCAAGAACACCAGATCCTGCGTCGGAACGAGGTCTGATTTTTTGAGGTTGATAATCCAGCCCAGTGACACCAGAATATCCATCACACGCAGTGTGGATGCTCTGCTTAACTGAGGACCTAAGGCCCTGAGAAGCCAGTCGTCCAGGTACGGGTAACAACACCTGCCCTGAGACCTGGCTAACTGAGCTGGGATTAGCATAAGTTTGGTGAACACCCTTGGCGCCGTGGAGATGCCGAAGGGGAGCACACAAAACTGGTAGCACGTCCTGTCAAAGGAGAACCTGAGGTACTTCTTGAACTCGGGGTGCATTGGAACATGGAGGTAGGCGTCTTTGAGATCGATCGACGTAAGCCAATCCCCTGTCTCGATGGATGAGATCACTGACCTGAGTGTCTCCATCCTGAAAGACGGCACCTCTAGTAACTTGTTCAGCCCTCTGAGATTCAGAATGGGTCTGAACCCTCCGTCCTTCTTGGTCACTAGGAAGTAAGTGGAATAAAACCCCTCTCCTTGCTGACCCACAGGAACCACCTCGATGGCTGCCTTGTCCAGTAAGGACTGAACTTCGGCACGGAGTACGTCCGCCTTCACCCTGGAGGCCGGCACTGGTGTGTGCCGAACCCGGAGAAGGACGGTGGATCTCGCCTCCACTGTGGCAAATGGCCATCCCTGAGTGTGGACAGGACCAGGGATTTGAAGTGGCTGCTTCCCACTCCCGAAGGAATAGTGACAACTGGCCGCCTACAGGGACGTTTGGCAGAAAGCAAAGCACCCCCACAGGCGGCAAGTCTCCGCTTGCTTGTGTGGGGGGCAATAAGGGCTCCGAGAGAAGATTCAACGGGAAGCTGGGGCTGGCTTCCCCTTGCCCCGAAAAGGCTGCTGCGACTGAGCAGGCCTGCCCTTGCCTCTAGCTCTCTTACTCCGCTTGGCTTGCAATGGGGCAGTCCACTTTGCAGGCTCCTTCACTGGGGCAGAAGGATATGCGGCAGTAAGAGGGGATGGCCGTTGGCGAGGAATGGAGGGGTGTTCCAACAAAGGCTTAGAGTCTTTGAAGGTGGACACCGCCTCCGCGGCCTCCTGCACTACCTGCAGTGCCCCAGGAAACAGGGGAGGACCCCATTGTGAACGGCAGAGACAGGAGCGCCTGTTGCGTGGCTGGAGAATAGCGCGCCACTGACAACCAAAGCCGACGCATGCCCATGACGGCACCCATCATCTGGCTTGCACAGCACCTAATACTGTCCCGAGCCAGATGAGAATGAACGTCCGTGAGCTGATGCGCGAGCACGGGAGCCGACAAGTCGGCACCACAAGTGCTCTGGTCCACAAGTTGACCCTGTAACGCAGACAGGTAAGCTGAGTTGACGGCCACTTTTAACTGCTGGGCTGCACATGGGTAACACTCCTCAAAGGACCGGTAAGCAGACTTCAGCGTGGGCGCATTGGTTGGAAAAGGGGGAAGCCGCCTGCCTTGCCTGGCCGAAGCCAATGAAGACGTGGACGACCCCCCGAGGGTAACGGAGGCGAAAACACATTCGTCCACCACTGGCAGCTCGAATAGCGCATCCTCTCCCAACTGATACCTTTTGCCAACGTCCGGTAAATCACCGAGTACGGGCACCAGTAAGGAGAGGATTAACAACCTCACTCACCAGTGACGGCAAAATGCGTAGGCGGACCTCGGCGACCCGCCTGGGCGCGAAAGCCTCCCCTGGGAGCCGAAACTCCGTGGGAATTGGGCGCCTGCACGGGGGACAGCCACCTCGGGCAGTACTTCAGCAATCCTATCGCAAACCTGTCGCAGGGATGACCCAAAGGGGTACGGGACCCCACTCTCCGACTCCTCTCTCCCCTCATCATCCTCCATGTCAACCTCGGCACAATCCCCAGCTGCCGTACTCTCATAATCAAGAGAGACCGCCAAGGGTACCACAGAGGCCGAACACGAAGGGCTTAAAAGGTCAAGAGGAGCCAGAAGTGTCGGGTCGCCCTGCCGGGTGGAACCCAGACCAGGGCGCCAAGGTGCCCGAGAGGAACCTGCCCCTACAGGTTTCCCAGGCAACCCAGACTGACCACTAGGCGCCGAGGTGTCCCCGAGCTGGTCGGCGCCGGAGGACCGCCAGTCAGGGCACCAGGCGAAGACAGGGTGAAACCTGCATCGCCGGCGCCAGGCGCCTGTGATGAACCTGAGCCCGAAGCTAGGTCGCCACAAGGTGCCGAAAGGCACACCATCACCTGAGCCAAAGCCAGGATCAAGCTGCCTGGGAGGAGGCGCGTTCCCAGAGCCAGAGCTCGGGCCGCAGCCAACCCCCCCAGATGCGTCCGATCCACCCCCGACGACAGGCGTGCTGAGCTCCTTGTGGAACCCAGACAGCGCCATGTCAATCAGGGATTTCACAGACGACATCTGTTCCTGAAATAGATTGGTTAATGCATCAAACGTAACAACGGGTGCCGAAGCAACAGTAGGTGCAGGGGATATAGGTACAGGGGTAGATACAGAAGGAGAGACAGGTTTTGCAGTGGAAGCCTCCTTAGTAACCTTCGCCCGTTTGGGAGCCGATTCCGGATAGGAGGCGGCTCCCGAGGACCCCTTCTGTTTACCGTGAGAGCGCTTGGTCAGGGGATCCTGGCACCCCCTGCCTGAAGCAAATTGCTGTAAAACAGCGTATCAACCCGTCTCGACTTAATAGTCTTAGGGGTAAAAATAGCACATGCTGCACAGCCCTTCTCCTCAGATACCAAGTTACAACAAAAAGATGAATGAAAATATTCAGAACAAATCTCCAAATTGCCCATGCAGGGAAAAAAGAGAACCATACATACAGTAGCTGTTTCTGAAACACTCATTGTCGCTTAGGGAAATTCAACATTCTGTCGAAGTGGACCCACGTCTAGCCAGTGAAACAACAGCATGGAAAGTGAGGTACGAGGTTATAGTCTAGAGTTACCTGCTCTTGGCTGTAGGGGGCCGTAGGGCCCTGTAGGGGTGGTCTCACAAGACAAAAACGTATTTTTTTGTGTTGTAAATATTTTATTCAAATATTGTTACAACTGTTGTAGGGATTTTAAATGGACATTTAAATGTTTATAAGTACCCCAAGGAGGAATATATGAAAAAGAATTAGACCGTCCATCAGAAATCTAGACCCTCGGGCTGTTGGACGGGCCTTATTTCATACACTGGTTACTGAAGACCAGATCTAACCCAGGTCTTCACAGCGGGAGATAATTACACGTTTTATGTCTGAAGAATTTATTTATTTGCATGGCAATCATGAAATACAGGAGTTTTCATAAATTGGTATGCTAGTTGTGACATATATAGATATTTGGTATGAGTAATAGTGTACTGATAAATTAAACATTCAAGTCTCACCTGAGGTTGACATATTGAAGTAGTGCCTGTTCCTCTGCAAAACCCTCCAGATTGTCTATCTGGTTTTCACGGAGATGAAGCGTTGAGAGACCATTAAGTCTACTCATTCCCTCTAACCTTCGGATCACGTTGGCCCCCTACAACACAATATTGTCCATGTGAAAACCAATCTTATAATGTAACCTTGAATAGGAAAATTTACTTCAATACAACAATACAACAAAAAAAAACATTCTGAGTAATAACTATCATCATCATTGGGTAGTGTGCAACCTAACATATTTAAAACACCTGGATGTAAAATTGGCAAGATTTATTCAATTTAGGAGAAATTCCTCCCTTCACAGCTTAAATGACACTTGTTTTTAATAAACTAATTCAGGTAAAACTAACCTTGACTCAACTGACCAATTGATAGCCTGAGTGTGGACAATGAACAGTTATGTTTGTAAGCTTGTTTGATGTTTACCACCACACCTGGCAATATTCCAGTTGTATGACAGTAGTTTGTTGGTTTTTCGTTTTAACGCTGCAATCAGCAATATTCCAGCTATATGGCACAGTCTGTAAATAATCAAGTCTGGACCAGACAATCCGTCAATCAACATCATGAGCATTGATCTTTGGGATACTATGGCGTGTCACCAAGTCAGCCATCCCAGCCACCTGACCATCTTAATTGCCATTTACGGGCGGTGGGGTAGCCTAATGGTTAAAGCGTTCGTCACGCCGAAGACCATCCCCCATGGGCCAATGTGTGAAGCCCCTGACCCTGCTGGAATATTGCTAAAAGCTGCGTAAAACCAAACTCAGTCAGTCAGTCAGTAATTGCCATTTACAATATGACACTGGACTATAATGACAGAATAAATAAGTGGCATATGTTATCAGCCATGTCCTACACACGAACACACAATGAGCCAGTTTGTAGGAAATGGTTGCTTAACTTTAATTGGCAATCATTCTTCTAGTATTTATTCAAAGTCATCCAGTGTGACAACATGATCATCAATTTTCTATCTTTCTCAGTGGTCAACCGATTCATGCTTTTTCATTCTGAGTCATTTTGGTCACAAGGACTCATTCTCAATTAATGTAGCCACCCAACTCACATTCTTCTCATGTTCAGCCATTGTGACCCTCTTTGTTTGCTTTTAAGCAAAGGAAAGTGATTTTTCTGCTGCAGAATAGTCACATTAAACATGCAAAAGCTGACGTTTTAAAATGAAATGATATGAGAAATACATACAAGGAAAAGATTTTTTAGGTTTGGCAGGTAAATTCCATCTGTGGACTCCAGTCTGTTTCCCCGGAGTTCTAGTGTGTGTAATCGCGTGAGCTTCGAAGCATCAAGACCTGACACATGGGAGATATTGTTGTCTGAAATAGAAACATAAACACTGCACAATGCACAAATGGTCTAAAATATAACATATTACAAATTATTACAACAAAAGCTAATTATTAAGTTACGTAAAAGACACTATTTGTGAATCTCATATGTGGTTGTTTTACATGAGAGAAACTACAAGGATACATGATGTAAGTTCTAAATCATTTAAGGTTGCACTCCTTCATATAACTTCAATAGTGCCACTATGTATCTCAAAATGGGTCATCAGTTGCTGTTGCGCATCAAGGGAGATAACTCTTTCAAACATAATTGTGGGTGTTCTTTCACCTTTCCTCAGGATATAGGCCTCACCTCGAATAGACTTAAACAATACAGCTGTCAGATGACAATAACATTTAAACAAGGTACAATACATGCTAATCTGCTGTTTGTAGAATTTTTTTTGTGCAGATGAATAATCATTTATGCTAACGTACATGTTTCAGTAAAACTAAACATGAAAGTCAGGTCCTTATTATAATTCTTTGTTAAAAATTAGGGGGTCCCTTTATTAAGAACAACCCTCAAAGAACACAATTATTTCCGACAAATTGTACCGATATAGAATTGGGCATTTAAATATGATTGTAACATCCACTTTGGTATCATGAAACAATGTTGAAATTATTCACCGCAACCAAATAGACAAGTATTCTAAACAATTCAGTTGTACAACGGACTCATGCAAGAAAATCCCGCAAACTTTATCAGAAACTGATTTAAGTCAGTGGCATATCATGGTGGGTTTGTACAAATAAAAATCAGCTTAAAAGGATCAGCTATGTTTCTTCAGGTAACCATGGCAACTTACTGTTGAGATTAAGTTGTTCTAGATTTGGATGGTTGATTCCCTCAGTGTTGTTGATGCGGTTATGGCTGAAGCTGGCCACCTGCAGGAACGGCATCTCCTCCAACTTGGCACTAGTGAGCATGTTCTCGTCTGCCTTCAGCGTCAGCATGTGCGTCAGTGCACACAGGGGAGATATGTCTTTCAGATTGTTTTTACTGACATCAACATATCGTATGTGGATAAACTCATTCAGTTTGCAAATATCGGTGATTTCTCTGAAAATATTTAAAACATACAATATAAATTTCCTGGAAAAAATCTTAATAAAAATATGTAACAAAACGATTTATCATCCCCAAGTGACTTCCACACGAAACATTAGAGTGTCAGGTCTTTGGTAAATATGACATCACAGTTAAATAACTGGTACACTTACAGAATACCGGATACCTCATTATATACATTCTATTGTGCGTGTGAGGCTCCTATATATAGAAGAAACAGAGAGCACGAGCCTGCGAGCGATCCAATAAAATATATGAATTTAAGGTAAAAAATAAGGTTAAAATTGAATTCCTCACCTTACTTCCGGTTAAGGAAACCTAAACTCGGGATTTTAACAGTGTTCACTGACGTAAACAGAGTAAAAAGTAATCGTGTGTTGAAATTTTATTCAAATGCATGCTGGGAAAAGGAACTCTACAGTGTGGGAACACTCTGATGGTAAGTGTTTTTTGATTGGTAAGGTAAGGTAGGTAAGGCTTTTAAATAAAGGGGGGTACCCCCTTTACCCCCATTATCTTACCTTTTTTTAGCTTTAATATTGTTTAATATTTAATATTTAATATTGAACGCTGCTTCAACACAGCCTTCATTCATGGCGTGCCGTTGCTAAGGAAACAAAACGGAAGTGCGCAAAAATAAATGCGTAATCAAAATAAAAATGGCGGATAGGTATCCGGTATTCTGTAATCTTGCCAAATAACTTATCTCTCTGCCACTGAAGCCTGTTGGCTGTACTTTGTATACCCAAGACACTAGTTATTACAGTTTACAAGCTGAACAATGATTTTGGGTGAGAAATATAATCTAGCCCTTTTGTCAACTTGATGGGAAGCCTAAAAAAATTAAACGTTTATTAACTTATTTTGATATATTTGATATCCAAAGACCTGTTGAATCTCCCAAATGCAACCTACAGAAAATGACTGTGAACTGGAATAGCAATCATGCAAGGCTCAAAAATAAAACAAACAGCATGTGATTATGAAAGTGGTTTCTTGAGTGAATTGTCTCCCTTGATGTGCAAACTTTCTCAACAGTGACACAGCATGAGGAGGGGTTGCCAATGGTATCGGCCCGGGAAAGCGACATTTCAATTTTAGTATACCCGGTAAAACATCAAATTCCGGTTCTGTTGGGTATTGCCGGGAAAGCCTCAACATGATAGTTACGAAGAAAACATCAGATTATCGTAAATGAGTTGAGCGCCCATGTGTATGTTAAACAAACATTTGAGAAGTTCTGTTTGATCCAAATTAATCCTATTAAAATGTGAGAAGCCATGTTAAAAAGAAGGAAAGATTTTAGAAACAAATAGTTTGATACAATACAGTTTTGTTACTTTGTTGTGGAAACTATTAATTGACACCGAGTTCATCCTTACACTTTCATCCCTTATAAATATGAAGTGAAGGAATGATCGTTACTAAAATGGCTAACGCACTGGTTCAAATTACATTCGTAGAGATGGTCAGAGGCGGTAAACACTTGTTTTTTTACCAGCGCGAGCAGCATTAATGCTCAACTCCAGTCCTTAAAGAATGACCTCATCAGCAGCCAGATTGGCGAGGATGATTACACTGACAGTGTTGCAGATTTACTGCACTTACAGTGACAATGAACATGATTTTCAGTGAAATGATTTGTCAAATATCAAATACATCAGTTCAAATATATGCTGTATCAATAGTATTAATTTATTTATATTAACTACAGTACGGTTCAATAAAACTCATATCATTCAAATTCTTTTGTCTCTGATGTTCTTATTCAGTGGAAAGCCCCAATTAAAAAGCCCCAATTAAAAATCACCGTACCTATTTAATTTGAAATGTCCCTCTCCCGGCCCATAACCGTTGCCAACATTTACCACAATTATATGTTGGTAGGTGCATGTATAAAATGAAAATCTTTCACAAAAAATGATGTTTATTGCTTTGAACATTAGTCAAACAGCTGTAGCTGGGTGTGAAGTCATTCCACAGATTAATTCTTACCTTGTCAGCTAGTCAGATCAGAAGGTATGTGTTTTGAATCCGATCATGGAACTTGGAAATTTCATACCCGCTACACAGTGTTAATATGGAGGTGTCATGAGATAGATTAAACACTAAAAGTATTGTATACGTGACAATACTATCATTCAAAATGCATGCTGTTCAGTGCTTACAAGGGGCGGTGGGGTAGTCTAATGGTTAAAGCGTTGGCTTGTCACGCCGAAGACCCGGGTTGTGATGTTGCTGGAATATTGCTAAAAGCGGTGTAAAACCAAACTCAATCAGTCAGTCAGTGACTGACTGATTTACACACACCTAAAAAAAAAATGAAGACATTAGAAGTAGTACCTGTCATGTACGTCAAGTCTAACATAGGCATGTGCAAGTCCGTCCCCAGTCTTACACAACAAGGACAAGCTCTCTGCCATAATCTCTTCTGAAAGGGGGTTAGCAGGGGGCTTCTGAAACAGGTAATTTTTTAAAATATTAGGCACTCACCCATTTGCATGCAAAACATGTAAAAAGACATCCATGTACTTTATAATGATGCCCTGTAATCATACCACATATAATCAATGGCAACTAAGTTTCATGGAGGTTTACAGTTACATCTTCATGTTCATATCATTGAAAAATATGCCAAGCCATTGACAATTTCATGTCATCAAACTGACCAAAGCTGTCTGCATTTTGTATTCAGTTTGTACAAAGAACTAAAGCTGTGTTGATTGTAAATTCTGGTATGGATGTTGTGAAATGCTGTTAGCTAGACTGGACTGAGTCAATCTTGAAATCTCACCATCTGGATGATTACTGCTGTGAACATTTACATATATTAACCTTAACAATCATTTGGTCATGCTGATGATTTTAGTTTAAATGCTACCATCCCAATTATTGGTGTTTCACTGTATCAACTGATAAACATCAGGATATACAACATAACAGGTATTGATCCAAAGTACAAATCATATATTTTGAACTTATGAATGAGTTACAAAAGACTCTAGTCTCATTCAGTGCGTTTATCACATCATCATAATCATCATCATGATTATTATTCTTGCTTCATTAGTCATATTTTTCTTCACAATGTTTACATAGATCTTTCACCAGTCCTATTGCTGATAGATTAATGGGTAGTTATTGTAATGAATGTCAAGGTATAATTAAATGAGTGTTACGATATTGATTGTTTCAATGTCGTCATTTCATGTATCAATAAAATATATATAGATCTACACAAATACAGTAATGTACAACAGTGAAACTTTGGTGAAACACATTTTTCACATTATAGGTGGCAAGTTATTTTCTATAACTGTCTTCTAACACAGCAAGGTGATATGTTTTTATATCTGAGTTAGTTTGTATAAAATGTATAAATGTATAAAAATAATTTGGGAATCATTTAATGAACATTACCTAGTTCAGGAAATCTTGGGCTATAGATCATGCATATCAGTCTGCACTAAGCCCAACGTTAAAATCAAATCTAACTTTAATCATGATACAGTCGATAATTAGATCTACTTGATTAAAGCAGGCAAATATTCAGGCTCTATATTTTACGTCACTTCAGATAGGAAAATGTTCACTTTTGATTCATAACGTGCACAAGATAGACGGTTGAGTAATTGGATCTGATAAACTGCCAAAACACTTCATTCAGAACACCAACAAGGGCTTTCGAAATGATAAACTTGAATAAACAATTTAGAAAATGCAAAACAAGCACCTCCTCCTCTTCTTCTTCAACTTGCTCATCTTCGGCCTGTTCCTCATCGCCAAGCTCTTTTTCTTCCTCCTCAAGCTGTTCTTCTTCGCCAGCTTCTTCGGCACCGGCTTCCTCTTCGTCAAAAGTTTCCTCTGCTTCAACATCGGACATTGTGAACTTTTACTGTTAACCTCTCCAAAACAGAAAGCAAAATAAACTGTCAACAGCAGACAGCTAAACGTGTTGACTGGGAAAATGGCGTCCTGTTGCCATAGAGACCGCTTCGCCTCAAACGCCCATTTGTTAGCAAAATTGACTGCCTGGCGACGGTTAGGGACATTTGGGTCTTTGAGTTATTTCAGACCGGTCTGTAGAAATTAAAACTGCCTAATTCTCGTGTTTTTGACAAATATTATCAAGTAACGGTCGCATTCGAGATCTCGCGAGAATTAACAGAACTCATCCATCTGATCGAAGACGAGAGGTAAGCATTTCATATAAGTTTTTAGAACTTCTAAAAAGTTTGATTCGTGACCTTGTTCTTGTCATTAGTCGAGTCCATTCATTACCAGTTACATACAAGATGTGTCAAGTAAGTTTTCAAAACTTTTTCTCTAAAAGTAAGGTCGAGGACAACAGTTGAAGTTACGCACTGTTTTTGGGACATATCCCAGCTTTTCAGCCTCAAACGTTTTATCTGATACGGTTCAAAGCTCAGGGGGGCGTGCGTCTGTCATGTCCAAAATTACGTTGTGTGTGTGACATATCAGATTTCTCCCTTTTGTGTAATTGATATTACATTTTAGTGTTATAATGAAAGGATTTTATCAAATGTCGGAGAAATTTGAAGTGCTTGGGAATTTGTGCAGACGAATTTTTACTGCTCCAAGTGATTTATCACAAGGGTTGGGTAGGCCGGGTTTAATTGAAGGTGTGGTTATACGTATTTTCTCCATGTTCAGTGATAACTTTCATGAGGTTTTAGTCATGTTGAAATATTTACACAAACCATAGGAATGTCAGTCATGGTGGAATTTTTGCTTGTTTGTGTGTTTTCCGATGTGTACATTGTTTGATTGTGTGAGCCACATTTATGGGGCGTTTGCATTGACCATATTTGGTTGCTATAATTACACTATTGTTAATATTGATTTTTGCTCTTAGGTATCTTTGTAGGAATAAAGAGGATGCATTTGTTATTTAATCAGCGAAAAGGGATGTTTGCAAAAGAAAATACTGGAGTTTTATATTCATATGTATTGTTAATATTGTTAAATGCATTATATCTAGACCCATTAAAAATATCTTTTCAAAATGGTTCAAAGAACACTGTCAGAATATGCAAACTGTGTTGCAAGTAAGATCATTGACCAAACTTTCCAGTAGAAAACCCATAAAAGATTTATTCTACTTTTATTGATTGAGTAGCATTGCCTGCACAGTTATTTTGGTTGCCACGGTAACACCCGACATTATCCCCCTTCACAAGCTTGAACACGACTTAGATCTGGGGAGCTGCTTTTGTTTGTGTACCAGCTCAATAATTTTCTTTCACATGAATTGAACCTTGCATATTGTTTTTAGATAGGTTGTAATATTGCCATAGAAACCACGGCCCTTTGTTTCAAATTAATCTATCATTCTTGTCTGTTGGCAGTGGACCAAATCAGCATGAACCTATACTACCCTGGTAGGGGAATGCTGTTTTAGCTTATTTGGGACAAGTCTTGCATTTAACAGCGTGCCTCAAGTAGTCATGATTTACTAAGTACCCAATTTAGCTCTCCACCAGTTGCCATTGGGAACTCAACAATACCACAGTGACTAGTTCACTGATATTAGTTTGACAGGTATATTGGTTCACTCAATAAAAAATACCTTCTCTACCTTTTAGAGAAAATATTTCCTTATTTTATTGCTCAGTGTCATGGCTGTGTTGACTTATAAAAGATTATCATGAAGAATATTACCAAGAACAAGGTGTTAGTGAATAAATAATTTATTGATTTTGTACCCAATTGTTTTAACTTCATTTATATATGTGATTACAGTGCTGCCTAATTATACATTGGTACTGTTTTTCTAATATCAATGCAATTTCTGATACTTTGTGCTGAGGACATTATTGCTCCAGCTGAGCACGAATATTCCAGGCTTTTGATAATTCTGACTGTATCTCTGGCACAATAGGTGTTTTGTGCAAGATCAATTGAGCGCAAGGCTGGTCTGTATTTACCATTGATTTCTGTTAATTTCATCATTTACTTAGCATTTGACTTCTGGCTGGTATAGCAACAAAGTATTATTTATGCATGCCCAACCTGGTGCATTGTGGTGGTTGCCATGGTTACCACCCATTTTCCAGGTTGGGCTACCTGTGTTATATGGAGAGTTAAGACGGAAGGGTTGTAGTCTTGCAGTCGTGGTCCGGTGGACACACGCACTGAACGTTGGATGGTCCGACGGTTGTGGGTCTTCGGACAATTTCCTATCCCAGGTAAACAGTTTGTTGACATTTCCTATCTTGACTTAAGACGGGGTAAATGGTCCCGTAACCTGGTTGTCATAGATATTTGTGGTGACTCTTAAGATTATGATAAATTGTTGCCCAGGTGTCCTAATTAGATGGTTACCTGTGTTGTCTCCCAGGTTTACTAATTGTAAAGGTTATCAATAGATATGGTTTAAGGGATTTGAAGATGTTTCAAGAATAGTATATGATGTTAGTGGCTCATATCCATGTTCAACCAAGCAAGAAACAGTAGGTAGCAATTAGAATCTGCACTTGGTAACACTGTAATTGATTTTTACAGACATATTTTCATTTGTATGAAGCAGTCATTTGAATGAAGCATGATTCAGGCATTCATGTGTGTTATGGTATTGTAGATAAAGACTTTTTATATGACCATGAAACTCCTTTCATCCCATGTTCAACTTACAGGGTGGGACTCAAGTTAACTTTACAATATATTCTCTCCCTATCACCATTAAATCAGCAGTTGACTTTTATTCCTTCAAACGACTTCTCAAGACTCATCTGTTTTCACTGCATTATGACTAGCAACTAGTCCCTTATTGTATATATGTATTATTATCCACTCACTTTGTTAGTGCTTTGAGCATGGGCCTTGTGCATGGAAAAGGCGCATTATAAGTTCACATTTATTATTATTATATTATATTCGCTAAAATATTTCAATTTTACCAACAGCAACATGACTAGTCATATTTCCTTTGGATATGATTTATTTCTGTTTGAGTTCAGTTGTGTTCATTTCTAAAATATTTGATGCAGAAATGTGTGTGACATTAAACGATGAACATCTGCATAACGAGGATATGTTTAGTTTAAGAATGTGTAATAGTATCATAATAGGATTATATGTTGTGAAATTATTCAGTATCATGATGGAAATATTTTGACAAGTGTTTGAAATATCTAAAGAATGTTGTTCATTTTGCATGATTTGAACATTTTGGGATGCTGTAATCTAAACAGGGTTGGAAATTGACATGTCCACTTGACAGAGACTAACATCCGTGAAGGACAAGTGACACTGAGTGTGAAATACCACTTTTGGCCATTAGATAGATTGAAACTCTGAAGCATGTCATTTGTTGCGAACAAGTGAAAACATACATTAATTGATGACCCTGGTAACCTATGACTCACATTTGTGAAAGGAAAATATATGCTGAAAAATTCTTGTTAATAAGCACCTATTGTTGAGTTAAGGGATATATTGTTGAAGAAAATGCTAATTAGTGGGTAATGGCTGGGAAATACTGATGATAAAGTATGAGAGGATGTTGAGGAGGATGAAGCATATCGCAAACTAGTTTGAAGGAAATCTTGTAATATGAAACCATATATCCAGCATTTAGAACAATTACCAAATACAGCTCTTCAGGTCGAGCTGCTGTGAAAAAACAGAGAGGAAAAAGTTCATCAAATTTGTTGAAATTCACAGGAAACAATATTTCATTTTGTGAAATGAGCTCTTTAAATTAGTGTGGGGCTGGTTTGACTGCCTGGTGCTTGTCACGCACAGTGTGTGAAAGTAACATTGTATTTGATGGACAGATGACAGCATTACTGCAATTACTTACTTACAACTTGGTCCTGTGTGAAGTGTTGTAAGAGAGTGGTTGAGGGTTATTGGGAGGGTGGAGCAGGGCTGCCCTACTGTTGGTTCTTGTTGAAGTTGCATTCAGAATATTTGAGGGATACACATGTGATTTATTAAAGAAATGTAAACCACGTTTTTAAAATGAACATGCTTAGAACAAATTGATTGATATAATGAGCTGGATATTTTCCCCCGACCATTAGTTGTATATTTTATCATTTAAAAGTTGAAATGCATTAAACAAACTATTGTTATAATGAACTAAACTTAGTGGTCACTTTGTGGTTGTTTTTACCATAGTTTTCTTATTTGAGGCCTTCTTTGGAATGTATTTATTTACTTATGTTGTTGTCATGGTTATCCTGAAATTGAATAGACTACCAAAGAATTAAATTGTCTTTGTCCAAGTTGACAGGTGTCAAGTCCCAACTGTCTTTAGAGGCCCAGTGGTTAATGTATTTGCTTATGATAGGGAGGATATAGGTTCTATTCTGTCTGTGGGTACAATTTGTCATTTATGATATACTTTGTTACATTGTAGAATTAGTGTAAAATCAGCCACATTTTTCAGTCTGTCTTGTGCTTGGTCCTCTCATTACTATTTCTCCAGTCCATACGTTTCCTCATTGTCTTGTTCACTTCCTCATTTTTAATCTACTCCTTCAATCACTTCCACATTCTCCCTTTCATTTCTCATCCAGTATCACAATATTCTCATTTACTCACATGTTCTCTGATTCAGTTCTTCATTCTGTCTTTTGTTCTTCAGTTCATCACGTTCTTAGTAATTCTTTCACTTACTCATTTTCACCTACTCATTCTTCCATTTGCTAATTTCCACTCACTCATCCGCGTAGGACACTGTCATTACAATGTTACTGTAACAGCAGCAGCTATTAAAGGATCAAGTTGTTTCTGCATCAACTTGTGTAATCAGTATATTTGCCCATTACTTTATGCTTCACACTCTTCCTTTCTTTTATCCATTCTCATGCTATCAGGGGTGGTGGGGTAGCCCAGTGGTTAAAGCGTTCGCTCGTCACGCCGAAGACTCGGGTTCGATTCCCCACATGGGTAAAATGCGTGCAGCCCATTTCTGGTGTCCCCCGCCGCGATATTGCTGGAATATTGCTAAAAAGCGGCATAAAACCATACTCACTCACTCACTCACTCATGCTATCATTCCTTTGATCATATTCACTCAGCCATTGTCTAATTTACTCATACATTCAGCCTTTCTCTCATTCATTTAGTCATTCTCTCATTCATTCCCTCACTCTTTCCCTCAATCATTTTCTCATTCATTCCCTCATTTAATCACCCATTCTCTTGGTTATTTTCTCAGTTATTC